GTCACTAAAAGCATTTTGTCTAGTGTCTTTTATTTCTGATGACTCCTTCACGGCATGACTTTTTGGAAATGTCTTTCAAAATAAGGTATTAAAATTATTTGAGGTAAAAAAAAGAGATAAGACAAAGCGCTAAGGTGATGGAAACGAAAATAATTCTCAGATGGGAAAAACGGCCAAGATTGCAGTAGCTTGTCCAGACCGGAGTCGCTGTAACCCCCCCTCCCCCCTCCTGATTGAAGAGACCAGTAGTATGTTAATTGCAATCCAATAAAAAAGCTTTTTTATTAACATGACGTTAATGCTTAAGGGTCTTTGTTTTCTTAATACAATGATTTGACTACCTAATTTGTTACAAAGACAAATATATGGAAATCTCTGGTAATGATTCAGTAGATGCTTTGCACAAAAAATAAGTACGCCGATCGATTCGAACCGTGTCGGATTGAAGTGCTAAGCTCGATCGACGGCAAGGAGAGAAGGAAGCTTTTAATAAGAATTTAAAATCGGATCACATCGAAGCGTTTTGTTATTCACAGTGTGGGGAAGCCAATAAATAGGACACGAATATCGACGAGAGAGTTTTTTGTAATTATTTAGGTTTTTATTGGACTTTTGTAGGGTTCAGTTTTTACTTTTGTAGGGTTCACTTATTGCCCCGCACAAGTAATCTGTTGAACGGGTTATTGTCTGCGGTATTTCCTGATCGATACGACTTTCAAACCTTCAAGAAAAGAGCGTACTCCATCCTAAAAGGCCGGCAACGCGTTTGTGACTCCTGAGTTGCCGACGTCACTTTCCATCAGGTGACCCGTCTGCTCGTCTAACACAAAAAAAAGTTACAAATTGTATTATGTAATGGTGAAGCCAGCGCTAGTTACGGATTTATGTTAGTTTGGGAAAAAATTGGGACCTAATGAGAAATGATTCGTCACAGATGGGCCTGCTCGACCAGGGTTACACCACAGCCTCACAGTTCACCGTTGTTATGCAATTTCGTTGCTTTTCACAGAGTAAGTGAGTTTATCGAAGCCAAAAGCCGCGGGAAAAAGCTAGCATATTATAAATTTGAAAGTGAGTTTGTTTAATAATAATAATAATAAATAAAAAATCAAATATTTGGATTTATCTCACGAGATTGTCGATATGTGGAATGTCGATTCAGTGATAATTGTTCCGATAGTCGTATCTGCTCACGGATTGATAGCCAAGAGCCCCCAACCGACCAACACCTTAAGAGGCTCACGTTGGACGGCTGGATCAAGGGTCTGATACAGAAGGCAGTCCTCCTTGACACGGCTCGTATAGTGAGGAGGTTCCTATCTTTGCAGTCCTAACCACTGGTGTCTTGGTACCTGTACCCGATATCGGTGGTCTACTATTTTTTATATTTTTAAATGTATTTTTATTTCTTTTGTAATATATTTAAAAATGTAATTAATATGTATATATAATTTAATAAAGAGAATAATAATAATAAATAAAAAATCAAATATTTGGATTTATCTCACGAGATTGTCGATATGTGGAATGTTGATTCAGTGATAATTGTTCCGATAGCCATATCTGCTCACGGATTGATAGCCAAGAGCCTCGACCAACACCTTAAGAGGCTCACGTTGAACGGCTTGATCAAGGGTCTGATGCAGAAGGCAGTCCTCCTTGACACGGCTCGTATAGTGAGGAGGTTCCTATCTTTGGAGTCCTAACCACCGTTGTCTTGGTCCCTGTACCCGATGTCGGTGGTCTACTTTTTTTTATATTTTTAAATGTATTTTTTTATAAAGTGTATGTTTAAAAATGTAAATAATATGTATATAAAGTAAATAAAGAGAATAATAATAATAATACTTTATTCAAAACCTTGTTACATTTTCACAATAATTATACGCTTTCAAGCCTAAAACACTAAACCGACCTTAAAATTCTTTGATCAATGGAAAGCTACATTATCAGCGAGTAGCTGAGACTACTTTTCACCGCCATAACTTATGAATGTATGTAAGTTCCTATCTACCGGTATTCATATTACATGCCTGCATGTAGAGATCTGACTGCAAAACCCTGTTCATCTACTAATCACTTCTTTACCAAATATTGCGTTTAGTTTTATACATAAAATCTGTCGTTTTCGATTTGCAAACAGCAAAAATGATTGCTTGATGAAGATGATTGTAATGTTCTATGCCTGGATGTAATTTACTCATCTCTCTAAGACAGTTGTACTGTTTTACTATATTTGTAAAAATATACCTTAATAAAAAAGTTATTCTTAATGTAAGTAGCTTGTTTATATATTCATATTGTGCTACATTTATTTACGAACTCAAACCAGCTCAAGGTTATAAAGTAGCTAACGAAATACTAGAAGAAGAACACCAATAAAGTGAAAGCATTCTGCTATAACTTTTACTTATACGTAATATCTAAAGGGTGACCACACTAAGTCAGCTCTTGAATATACAACACAAGAATTAAATATAATTTCTTTCAGATTACACTATGATGATCCATGTTAAAATTTTAATAATGGCACTGCACCAATATTCGACCTTTAGGAAACATTTTGTCCTGCACAAAAAGCTGTGTTATCATAAATTGTCAACGCAGAGTGTAAGCCGTTAGGTCTACAAACTTAAAATTTTGGCAGCTGATGCATTTATTGTTGTAAGCCATTTTTGAAATGTTTTTTGGAAAATTCACCTCTAAGGGGGTAAAATAAGAGATGGAAATTCGTCATTTTCAAAGCTAGAAACACAAAATATGAAATAGGCAAGCGAAGCCGCGGCCTAGAAAGTTAATAAAATTGAATAATAATTACCAAAAACAGGAGAAACCGGCGTGAGAAATCATACATATGTGCAGACATTATTTCCCTTATCATCACTTAAACTATTTAGTGTCTACTGCTGCTATTTAGTGTTCATTAGCTCTCTTCTTAACTTCCAAGAAAAACGCCTAAAGAAAAATGGCTTGCATCCATTTCCACCTGCTGACGTCATACTTTGCAGTTTGCACGACTAACAAAGTATTTAACATTAAAAATATTTAATTGAATCCATTTTTATATTTACGTGTCCTGTTAAAATCATGGAGTTCGTACATCTTTGAGGTTGCACTCAGCTACATGAAACGAATGACCCAGAAACTGCACTCGCAATATACAACCATGTTGCACTGAGGATTTACCACTTGAATACAAAAGGCATAACACTGATTAGTTAATGAATTAAAATTGGAATAAGATAGTTGAAACCCATATTTGTGTGTTTGGTAAAGCATCTGTTAGTAGGTTGGGAAGTAGAATAACTCAAAATGCTTGGAAAACTAAAGGTTTTTTTCGGAAAACAGTTTTTATCACGTAGAGGTCAAACTGACGCGACACCTGATAGGAAGTGATAACCAGCGCGCATGGATACCTGCAATTGAGAGTCATCAGTGCGTTGCCAGCCTCTTTGTCTCCCTCCTATAGAATTAGGGCTTCTGGTAACCTCAGTCACTCGGTAAAATTCAACGTTACATAATACCTTATGTACGTGAGGCGGTGATATGGCTCCAGTTATGCAGGCCCTTATGATGTAGCATGGTTAATGGGATGATATAAAGTCAGATCGTATCGGTCTAGAAATAAGGAAATCTGTTTACTATTTTATGTGATTTCAACTACATTTTATGATGTTAAATATTTCATTGTTTTAATAAGTTTACATATTATTATGTTGCTCTCTTGTTCCTCCTTTTTTTTCTGTGTCTCTCAGATACCACCCACCGGTGGGATGGTTATGTTGGACTCGAACTGAGCAAAAAGCGCACGCCGTGTTGGCTACCAGTTGCCGGGGAACCAGGTGTACCCTAGAAAGGAAATCCCTGGTTCGTATCCGTACGAGTACCTCAGGCCATCTACGGCGTGTAGATGACCCCCTCCTCTTGAAATAACTGAAATTACTATTTTTCTATATTTACACTTTGAACTGTTTTTTTTTCCAATTTCAAATTAGTTTATAATTTAAAAATATTTTGAAAGTTATTGTATGTTTATATGTGGAAACTGTATCGGACTGTGTGTAGTTTACCTGTACATTATTATTTTTATTTGTATCTGTTTGTTTCCCTTATAAAATAAAATAAATAATGAAATGTAACGTAGTGAAGAATTGGTTTATCTGCCAGCAACGTTATTGTTACTATGCTATAATTAAGGTACGGTTGTTTTCTTCCTCCAACACAACAAGAGGACCATCCAAACAGGCGTTGGTGATCATATCTGACGGCTCACGGCCCAACAGTTGATGTTAAGAAATTGTATGTTTATATTACGAGTATATATAGGTACTAATCGATGCAAGAAAAGTATTTAATAATAATAATATATACCTCACACATCTCACACTCGGCCGCCTGATCCCAAACTAGGCAGAGCCTGTGCTATGGTAACTAGACTGCTGATAAACATACTTTTATTAATTTTTAATACATACATATTACACAGACACAGAGCAAATGACCGTGCTCGTCACACAATATTTGTCCTGGGTGGGAATCGAACCCACGACCTCTGGCTTAGCAGTCAGGGTCACTCACCACTAGACCAACAGGCCCGTCAACTAGTAGTTAAGGGAATTTTCATTAGATGGCGTTTAAGTTGTGTTTCGTTGTATTTAAAAGTCGCAACACTACACGATACACAGAAATGGGTTAAAATCCTAATCTTACTTTATTGTTTTTAAAATTTCTCCACTTGTGTGCTCATGAAATATTTTAATCAGTAGTTAATCCTCTTAATTACCAAGCATAACTTTAGGTTTACATATGTAATTTAAAAGATACTGTACGATTTTAATACGTGTTTATTTCTGATTGTGAGTTACTTAATATTTCATTTTCAATAGATTAAAAAGTTATGCAAACAGATAACTTATAACACGCCGGTGACACATTGATAACGATAGATAAAGTTGTTGTGTTTAGTATTATACACTTTATCGTGGAAACTAGACGTGATAATGAATAAAAAAGTTAAAAAGAAAGAAAGAGACAGTGGAAAAGATGTTAGAAGTGATATTTCAGTAAGTTCTTTTTAGATTTATAATAAAATTGTTCAGTTCATTTAAAGAAATGAAAATATTTTCAATTCAAACAGTCTCTTTTTAACACGCTTTTGTTAGCTAAGAATGTATCAATGTATGCTTTTCAAGATATTTCATCCACTGTTGTGCATAGGCCTCTCCTATTGCACGATACTTATAGAAAATAATTTATAGTATGTATGTAAGTATTGTGCAATAGGAGAGGCTGAGATACTCTTTAGTTCGGCTAGTAACAAAAGCGTGTTTTTTAGTTTTTAAACTATAATTTATTATTGTTTACTTATAAAGTACTCGTAGCCTATGCTACTTTCTGATAATGTAGCTTTCCAATGGTGAAATACTTATCTAAATCGGTTTCGTGGTTTAGGCGTGAATTCGGAGCACCAGGGACTTCCTTTGTAGGGTATACCTGGTTCCCCGGCTATTAGTACCCGAGACGGCGTGCAGTTTTAGTCGGTTCGAGACCGACATGCCACCGATAGGTAGTATCCGAGGGGATTTCCGCACGGAAAAAAAGGCGTGAATGCGGAACAAACAAATGCAATTTAATATTTATCATATGAGTAAGGAAGTAAAGATGTCGAAATATAGTGATAGTGATATGTCTGTTGATATAGCGGTCATTGATCCCGAGTGCTAAGCCAGAGCCAGATTCATATATTTCTAAATATATACATATTATCTGACTTCTAAACACATACATCTATTATTGTCTATTTGAATGCCTCTGTGGTGCAGTGGTAGATTATGTAACTGCTGTGCTAAGGTCTCGGGTTAGATTCCCAGGTCGGAACAAATGTTTGTATGATCTGCAAATATTTGTTTGTTTGTTATAAGTGTTTTCTATGTATAATAATGTAGGTAATAAAAAGTCTACCTGTCAATCAAATTTTCATAGTACAAACTCTGCTTAGTTTGAAACTAGATGGCGTCAGATGTCCGAAATATTATTAATATTTTGTTATAGATTAATCACACCCAGACACAGAACAAGTGATAATGGTCACCACACAATTATGTGATCCTGTGTGGGAATCGAACTCACCAGCTCTGGCTCAGCAGTCAAGACCGCTAACCAACAGACAAACGGGCCCGTTTAAAATAAAAGTTTTTGTATTATATAGGGGGCAAATGAGCAGACGGGTCACCTGGTGGAAAGCGACTACCGCCGCTCATGAACGCCTGCAACTCAGGAGTCACAGGAGCGTTTAAGCCGGCCTTTAAAGAAGAAAAAGGCTCTTAAAATACGTATCGGTCCGTGAATACAGCAGGCGACAATATGTTCTACATATTGGTTGTGGGTAAGTAACAGATTTTTTACTTTTTTAGGCATTTTCCATTCTATCAGCAATAATTTTAGTAGGTATATCAATAGCAGGATATGTGGTGTACAAGAGTGTAGTGCATGTTCCGGATATGCCTGATCTTGATTTGAATGTGTGGTGGGGGCATAATACTTCAGAACCTCAAGACACGTCGATCAGGCCTTATAAAATTGTTTATTCGGATGCGGTAAGTACGTATTTTAATATTATTGTAATTGCAAAACATATCTATGTATTATTTGACGACAAGTTAGCTTTCAAAATTAGGAATTTAAAAACGAAAATATTAGAAATAATAATAATATAATAATAATAATTTTTATTTAAAGTAAATGACTGATATAATTGGTTAGATTAGACATTTCTAATTTAATATACGTTGTTAAGTATTGACCTAGAGACAGGAAGGTTGTCTAACTAAAAACATTTATAAGAATAGAGAATTTAGACCTATTAAACGACTTTCCAGTTAGTAGTGTGTCTGAATATAGTGTTTGTAATATTGAGTATTGAACGCGAGTCACAATAAACAGGTGGACTCTGTGAGAGTCCATCTGTGACCACGATTAGTGCAACGTGGTCGAAAGGTAAAGTAATTATTAGGTCCGTGTGGTGACGGATTAAGAATACAGTGTCACCACCCCTATTCATCCCGTGGGTGTCGTAAGAGCCGACTAATGGAAAAAACTACGCAGAACAACAGCACTGCACAGAGAAGGAAAACTTGACACAAACAATACCCACCCGTTGGTTTGCCTCCCTAGTCGGCTCTTACGCCATCCACGGATATGGGTATACTCCGTATTCTTAATCCGTCACCACACGGATTTATTGCTCTATAGATTGCCAGTATGTATGCTAATATTCATGCGGAATTAATTATTGTGAAAATACCACCCTAGTGTTTCAAGGAATCTAATTAATGTCAAGTACCAAGTACCAAGTATCAAGTATATATATAGAAGAGAATATACAGAAAAAATGTCAATAATAATTTTCGTAATTAGAATTCGTTCGAAACTCAGTTTCGATCTACTCTCGATGACACAAATGTCATAAAAGGTATTCTTGCAGTATATTTGTAAATTATATATTTACAATTTAATTTAATATAATTTAAATTAATTAATGAATTCATGTTAAACACTGAAACAATTAGACCAAACTGAAAAGCACTAAGCGATAGCCGAACCCACTAACCACTAATCTACTATATTTTTTATTATTTCAGATGGAATTAAAACTCAGAGGTCTTTTTGAAATGTATCGAAGATCGAAAAAGAAAGACAGCTTAAAAGATTCAGCTTGGACTTACGGTGTAAACAGCGAAGCTTTAGAAAAATTCTTTTCCTACTGGATTTTCAAATACGACTTCCGACAACGACCCAAGTTCTTGAATCAATTTGACCAGTACAAGACCAATATACAAGGCTTAGACATTCATTATCTTCATAAAAAGCCAAATGTGGATAAGAATTTGAAGGTAAGTTTGATCTTTTATACTTCTTTTCAACCGATCAACTAGCCTATTGTAGTCCACTGCTGAACGGATCAGACACAGACACTGGCGCTAAGCGTCTGACATCCAATCTATACCTTTTCTGGTTATCAGTTCGTCTGACCTGCCTACCTTTGACACCTTTGGATAGAGTGTGGGCATCAGACCTCCTCATTCATGGGCGGCGGTAGTTGCTTCCCATCAGGTGACCCATCTGCTCGTTTGCCCCTATTCTATAAAAAAAAGAAAGTTTACTTATATATGAAACATTATACTATAGTATACTTGTGTAAGAGACCTGAAGAAAATTTGTTTGATTCTTTGTTTAATCTAATTTCTCGAAAATTAACTAAATTTAAAACATTGTCTTTGCCGCAGGTTTTACCACTATTATTATTGCATGGCTGGCCGGGATCTGTAAGAGAATTTTACGAAGCTATTCCATTGTTAACCACACCAAGACCAGGATACAATTTTGTGTTTGAAGTTATCGCTCCTAGTATTCCTGGGTTTATATTTTCAGAAGTAAGCAAATTTATGATTTAATGTTCTAATAGCTTGTAGGTCTATGTAAAACAGCGTCCTATTAAAGGCTGTTAATGATGATGATATCATTCTTTTGTTCATTAAAATTGTTTGCATGATATCTGATGCAAACAATTTGAATGAACAAAAAAATAGTTGAAAACCATTTTCCATATTCTCTTTTTCCGTAAACTGTCATAGACAGCAGAACAGTACAAATATACAATGTATGCAAAAATGCAAATATGCATGTATGTATCTGTGTATTTCATATTAACTTTACTTGTTCTTTCCATTTTTTAAGATGCCATTGGCATTTAATTATGTTTATAAATCAAGAAAAACAAAATGGTTTCTCTAATGATTTTATGAAGCATCATCGTCAATTTTTGACAATTTTTTTCTTATAATAGCAGAAACTAAAAAAGGAATGGTGGAACCAAAGTTTCGTTCATTTGTCCTGAATGTATATATAACTTATGCGCCCAAAACATATCCTAAAAGAGAATCACTTCCAGGCGCCAGCTCGCCCAGGACTATCACCATACCAAATAGCAATCTTAATGAGGAATCTTATGCATAGAATTGGCCATAAATATTATTACATACAAGGTGGTGATTTTGGCCACGCAATTGGATCCAATATGGCCACTATCTTCCAATACGAAGTTCTTGGTTTCCATACAAATTTGCCAGTAAATTTAGGAAAAAATGCAGTCTGGACTTGGCTATTAGGATCTATTTGGCCATCTTATGTAGCTGGAGAACATACTAATAAATGGTATCCTTTGGGGGCGAAAATAAAATTTTATTTAGAAGAATTCGGCTATATGCATCTACAATCTACTAAACCGGATACTATTGGTAAGAATTGTTAGTTACCTTTAAATAATCCAAAAAGATTACTTAATGGAATTGCATTTTAAATATTATTATGTGTTACTTGTGATGACTGGTTCTTTCTGATATAATGGTCTAACTTATGCATGTATCGATCCCAATAAATTAGATAGCAAATATTTTATAGCAACTTTTCAACTTTCAAAAATAATGTTTCTTGTAATTTTAATACGGAAGTACTATAAAATTAAATTCAGTATTTTATTGGAGATCTTTTTCAAATCTAAGTAGTAATTAAACGGGAATCACAGGTTTTGAATAAGGACTTTTTAACAATCGTTATAAAACAAGCAACAAAAACAAGTTAGTTTCTACAACGTCTGTCCAGCAACCTTAGCCAGAATTTTCGAAAAATTCTGTAACCTTATGTTCCTAAAGAAGAAGCTGAGTCTCTTAGGTAATTTTAACCATTTATGTTTATAAACTGATCAGAAACAATGTCACAACACTTTACAGGAATTGCACTCCAAGATTCAGCAATGGGTCTCGCAGCTTACATGCTAGATAAATTAATGGTCTTTACCGATCCAGCGAATAAGCTATCCCCGGAAGGTGGTTTGGACAAGTATTTCAGTTATGACAAGCTGCTGGACAATATCATGTTGTACTGGATCAGTGGTAGTATTACTACAGCTATGAGGCTGTATAAAGAGTGCATTGTGGATGCTGACGTGGAACAAACGTTGGCTCAGTAAGTTCCCTATCTTAACGTATGAAACTATTACTTTAGACTTTCTTGATTTGCTTAGAGCGATAAACTTTATATGTGAAGATAAAACTCTTTCTATCTAAAAACAATAGATAGGAAAGTAGTTACACTGTTTCTGGATTCATTTATATCTTTTAAATATATGAAAATGTTGAATTGGTTTGTTTACGCTGCAAATATTCAAAAAGTTCTGCACCGATTAAGCTCTAACTGCCGCTTGAAAGATTATCGCTTACACGCTGAGCGGATGGGAGCGAAACCGAAAAATGTGTAACAAGACATTTTTCCGACACCTCTTGCTTTATTTGATCTTTTAAACTAAGCAACAACTTTTTATGCGGTTTTTACTAATAGAGAGAGTGATTCAAGAGGAAAGTTTATATGTATAATACAAGCATAGTAGAGGAAATCTGAGAATTTCAAAGATTTGTCCTGCAAAACATGTTTTTGTGCGCTTACATTTTAGGTTTAGGCAGCGTTTGCAGTTGGCTAAACCTTACGAGATAGACCAAAATAATGTACTACAGAATCGTATATCTTAAAAAGATCGGTATATGGCTATCTCCTAAGAATAAACCGAATTTTACGAAGCTATTTTAAACAATGCATTATTAGACCCCTCACGACGTTTTCTTCTGATTTTAGTGTAGGTTTTGTTCCTCATTTCTCATCACTGGGACCATAATGTGCACAGTTATTCTGGCAGGGTACAGCGAGTAATATATATATTTAGTAGTATATCTGCACTCAGTAAAAACGTACTTCGTCTAACTAAGATAACTTGTACTTATGAAAGAATGAAAGATTTCAAATAGAATATTGTACAAACTCTAACATAAAAATAGACTTGTCTTTATGTAAGAGTGGTAAATATAATTCGTTCTTTAAAAGTTTAAAACTCTTTTACGCTTTAACTGTTACAACTGACCACTTTAAAATTTTTTTTTTCTTTATCAGATGTAAAGAAAAGTAGTCTTTTCTATACCTCTTGTACCTACTTTTTTGACCTTGCAGTAGGGTACATTGCATACATAAAAAGTTACAATTTCCAAGGGTAAAAATATCTCTTTAACATTAAAGAGAAAGAGACCGCAAACAAAAGACAGCTAGCTATTATATTATCAGATATTACTTTTCCTTCCTTGATATTTATTGAATATTCTAAACAAAAGACATGCCAATGACGTCATGCATGAAATAAGAAAGGCGAGTAATTAAAGAAAGAAAAGGAAAGTAGATGTTGTCATTCTTATCTATAGTTTATTATTGCATTTAATTCTGAACCAAATCACAATGAGTTAAAGTTTATTATTCTTATTTATAACGATATATTTGAGAATATGCTCCTAGGATAATTTTAGCAATTCGGGGTGTATCAACATTGTCAATGCCATTGTTCCTTTATATTTGAAAGAGTAAGTTATTAATTTAGAATCGTGATGACATAATAAGATTGAAACTTACCGTTGAATGTTCTTGTATTGGTAACTAGGATGTATGTATGTGAATTACTCACAGACTGAAAGTACAATTCTCAGTAAAATAATTCAAAACACACACACACGGACACTTGCACACCAGATGCGCGCACATACACACACAGAGACAATCATACTAATATTATAAACGCGAAAATGTGTCTGTCTGTCTGTCTATCTGTCTGCTTGTTACCTCTTCGTGATTAAACCGTGGAACCGATTTAGATTAAATTTGGTGTGGAGATAGTTTGAGTCTCAGGAAAGGATATACGATAGTTTTTATCCCAGAAATCTTTAATTGGGTGAAAAGGGGGGTTCAAGTTTACGAGAGGAATCAATAACTGCTAAACCGATTCAGATAAAATTTGGTATAGAGAGACTCTGATCCTTGATAAAGGACAAATGCTACTTTTATATTATAAACTAAATATACATGAGCCGAGAACAAAAGTTAGTTAGTTCTAAATTGAATAAAACACCTTATAAAATAACAACAAAATCTGCAAACCTAGTAAACTTTTGACAACAATACTCACAAAGCAGTCTACTTGTTAGAATGTATAAGCAATATAATAGTACATGTATGCTCTCAAGTATCGCCTGTGATATTTCCGCACCGATACGACCTTCAAACCTTCAACAAGTGAGCATAATTCCACCTCAAACGTTGGCAGTTTACATGTTGTACTAGAACCGCAGATTTTCTAAAATAATATACTGAATGTAATAATGATAATAAATTTATTTCCAAAACAATTAGACATAGAAATTTACAGTACATGTTAGTTACAGGACAATTTTAGTCGTCGGTAAGATCGAAAAATCCATGTTTAATTAGTGAAAAACCCTGCCCTTTAAACTAGGTGACACTTTTTTTTTTCCGTGCGGAAATCCCCACGGATACCACCTATATCGGTGGCATGTCGGACTCGAACCTACTAAAAGCGCACGCCGTCTCGGGTACTAATAGCCGGGGAACCAGGTATACCCTAGAAAGGAAGTCCCTGGTGCCCCGACATACCTCGGGCCATCTACAGACGAGTAGACGACCCCTCCCGTGTGGGCACCCCATGTTCCCACTGCTCCCTGGAAGCGAGCGCGCTTCGTAACGCGCTCGCCGCCACCCCGGCCTGCTTCTGGTAGGGTGACAGAAGGCCTCACCTGTCACCCCCAAGCCTGCGCTTATGGAGGACGGAGGTCATTCTGCGACCTCCGGCGCCTGAGTCGCCTGCGGTACCTGGCCCGTTCCCGGGCCTGGCGGGCCGGGAGAGTTCTAAACCTCTCCCGGTCCCGCTCCGCCGTCTCCTGCGAGCATAACTTGCTCGCAGAAGGAGAGGCAGAGTTCCACGCACTCTCGCTCCGCACAATAGCCGCAATCAAAACTAGCTGACACCTATATCTTAAAAGACAGTGTTCGGCCATACATTTATACAATATTAGATAAAACTTTTCTAATGCAGACCAGTTGTGAATGCTTCGTATATTAAGATTAAGCTGCTATGCATGATATTGTACTATGAAGTGAATGAGAGTGTGTGGGTGTGGTTGCGCGAGTGTGTGTGTGTATGCATGAGTGTATGTGTGCGTGTGTGTAAGCAATGACTCTGTACTGAAATTGTCTTGTTTTAGTAGCCATTCAGTCCAATATAATGTGTACCATATAACACTAATCATCACGAAAGTCTGTAAGGTATTGCCACAGTCCGAAAAAGCTACAAATCAAATTAGCCGAAAGATACTACTGTAATTTTACTCGACCTTTGTAATATATTTAAAATAAAATGAAGAGAACATTGTTATTATTAATAAAACATTCAAATATTTCTAAAATCTGATAAATAGATTACCTTTTTACTTTAATTACAGGATTCCAACAAATGTTCCAACTTGGGGTCTGCGCTTCAAGCATGAATTAGCTCACAGTCCTGACTTTGTCTTAAAATGGAAATATCCTAACCTAGTTGGGACCACGAATTTCGATTTTGGTGGACACTTCGCAGCTTTCGAAAGACCAGAAGAATTCAGCAGTGATGTTTTCAAAGCAGTCAAAGCATTTTCAACCCTTTAATATTAAAGATATTACTGATAATTTTGTATTTTATTTTATATGTAATAAGTGATAGACTGCACGGGTGTCTTAGTGATTTAAGTTGTCACCGTTTTCTACTGCGTTGAGTGCTGTGGGTTTGATCCCCACATGAGACAACACTTTGTGAGATCCACAAATTGTCGTTCTAAGTCTGGGTGTTCTTTGTGTCCATTTGTAGTCTCCCGCGACACAGGACATATTCTGTGCGGGAGTTGCATTTAAAAAATACATACTTTTTACATTTTAATCTTATATATAAAATTCTCGTGTCACAATGTTCGTTCCCGTACTCCTCCGAAACGGCTTGACCGATTCTCATGAAATTTTGTGTGCACATCGGGTAGGTCTGAGAATCGGCCAACATCTATTTTTCATACCCCTAAATGGTAAGAGTGACCCATCCCAAATATTTTTTTGTTTTGGAATACAACGTTGGCCGGGTCAGCTAGTAATATCAATAATTCTTCTGTACGTGTGTTTGTAACCTAACTATTCCTAAACAGCTGGACGGTTTTGGATGAAATTTTGTGTGTATATTTCCATGAGTTCGTGGATGGTTTGAAAACATAATTGGACCCGGTAAGTGGTGTTGCTCTCGATATGTCACCTAATAGGAGATACGAAGTTCGCCAGGTCAGCTAGTATTTATATATTTTATAACATATTATGTTCTATGATGTCGAAAATGTGAAGATTAAATGAGTGAAAAGTTTGAGGGAAATGTAACTGAATCCTTTTCAGAAAAGGTTTGTGATATTAAGGTATTTTTCATGAAAATAGAATGATATAATGTAATGTCTTATAAAGTTTGAATAGCTTTCAAGCGTCTTAATTTTTTACAAAAATATCTGTGCTAAGTTTATCCGATGTCTGCGCGATGTTATGGCTACAAAAGATTGTAAAAATAAATATTTTTCGTAACACAGTTAAAAAATTCGTTAATACATAGTTGCATCGGTGGCGACACATCGTTGGTCCAACTAGAAATGGCGGACTATGGTAGAGTTATAAAAAGGCTAGTTGTCTTTTATCTTTAGAGAGATCAGTAGAGGTCAAGGTACGAACAATATCGAAGTTATTGCTATACATAAATTACATAATATACATAAATTTATTTTTATTTAAAGTTTACAGTTAGAGCTGTAGGGGCCTTGTTAAGAGTTTTGCAAACTAACGTGCCGTGCCACAAATGAATTATTTGTCAAATTTTTTTTTTGTTTAAATCTGTTTTTCTTAAATAATTAACGTAGGATGTGCTCACCAGCAAGGTATGGTGATAAATGGTGGACATGAAATAATGAATGGATGTATTACATAATTATGATTGTATCTGTGAATCTACGTGTTCAATTGCCGATAACAAAAACAGGTACAAAAAAATAACAGCTTATAAAGGGATTAAGCATTCGAGATTCAATGTACGTCCAAAATATCTTAGACAGTAGACGCGTTTTCACGCTTTTTTTTGCTTTTTTTTTCTTTACAGAACGAATTATTCTCTAGCTAACGATTGCCAGTACATACAATAAAAAAAATCGAATTGGTATATTATTCCGCCGTAGATTGTTCTTTTAATAAAAAAGTAAGAAATATTGAACAAACAATGGTGTTAAATAAATAATCTCTACAAAAATTGTCTATCAAATTTTGCATGTTTACCTACACAGAACGAGAGCGTAGATAATTCAACGAAAACCAATAATATTTTAATAAAGTTACGTTATATTCATACTGCGCGCATAAAATATTAGTTCCATAATTGTACATACATCTATTTATGCATTTTAGAACAAAACATACACTTACCTGTGGTATGATAATCCTTTATATTTGTTTATCTTTTTGTGGTAATTTGTGCACTTAAGAAATACACAGGAAGGCATTTTATGAATTTTCTCGAATTTTTCCGTGTGGTGACGGATTAAGAATACGGAGTGCCACCACCCCTATTCATCCCGTGGGTGCCGACTAAGGGAGCAAACTTTCCAGGACAAAAGCACTGCAAAGAGAAGGAAAACCTGACACAAAACCTATACCTACCCGTCTGGACAGTGTGGTATAGTAAGCCAACAACCCCTTTCTAAGGAGAGGCCTATGGCCAGCAGTGGACTATTAAAGACTGTTGATGTGATGTGATGATGAATTAGTACGTGCGCAAAGCGCAGTGGACTTAATTAGGATTCTCGTGTTTTTTGCTTTGGTGGCGTATCTTACTTTTTGTATTACGTTTGTATATAATAAAATTGACGAAAAAAAATACAACGACAGCCATTTCAAAACAAATAAATTTTGAAATTCACGCGTAACACGATATTTTATAAAAACGAATAGAAAAAAAAATGAGGCACAGGCAGCACTGACGAAGCTGCGGACGGACGACGGGAGTAATTCGATTTAACGTCGCTGACTGGATTGCAGACGATTACAGCATCGAGTTGAAGTTGTTTATTATTTTGTTTTGCGTTTGCGAATTCGATGATTGAAATTTAATAAGATGATGAGAAGATGAGCGAGATGTATTTTCTGTTTATATTTTCCTTTTCGGTAGGATTTCTTTGTATTATTTCTTAGAGGTGGGATGGATTGGCAATTGAGATGTCGTAATTCAATATCTGGTGATCAAATCTATATTTTAAATTGGATTGTTGCCTGTCTGCAGGCACGGCGATGATTGGTAAATTCATTACAGCCTCAGTTTTTATCTTGATACTTATTTGATGGCATTTTATTTACATAAATATACATATGGCGTAGCAGTTCCCTTTAAGGAGAAAGAGGGTGATATTGATGGTCTTTGAAGGTGACGGACCTGTTGAGCTAGTGGTTAGTGACCCTGCTTGCTAAGCCGAAGGTCGGGGGTTCGATTCCTACCCGGGACAAATAATTATGTGATGAGCACGATGATTTGTTCTGTGCCTGGGTGTAATTTATCTATAATATGTATGTAGTTAGAAATATGTAGGTATGTTTATCAGCACTCTGGTTATAATAGCACAGGCTTTGCCTAGACGGCCGTGCTGACTGGTTCCTAACTGTGTGTGTGTTCCCTATTATTATTTATCACAAGAGTAATGAGAACTGAGAGAGAAGCGCATTGATAAAATGTTTGAAAAAGTATTAAGTACATGCTTTAGTTTATGAGATAATTGAGATTGAAAAGAGTGGATTTCTTACGGGGAGCGATTCCTATTGAAGATGTTTGCCATACAAAGTTATTGTTACATTACAATGCTTATTACAAATTGTAAAAGGAGTAATACTTATATAGGATATTTTTTTTAACTATTATGTAGGTAAATTCAATTTGAAATTCCATGAGTGTCTAATAAAACGTCCTGACAGACAGGAACAACAGACAACGAAGTAATCCTTTAATTCAATTAAAAAATGAAAAAAATATCAACAAAAAAGCAGAACTTAACAGAGTTATTTCTATATATAAATGATAAACGATATTTACACAGAATATTTATCGCAGTATACTGATAGCTAAAACTAAATAAAGTAACAATTACTTTATTTTTATTATATTTTGAACACCTGACACACAACGCCATCTAGTTTCAAACTAAGCAGAGCTTATACTATGAAAGCTAGGTCGACTGATAGAATACTTTTAAGTATTATATTATTATATTAATATTTAAAAATACTTTTCTTTGTAAATACATACATATTATACATAGTAAACACCCAAATTCCGTAACAAGTATTTTCAGATCATACAAACATTTGGTCCGACCCGGGAATTTCACCCGAGACCTCGGCACATCAGTCGCATACGCTACCACTGTACCACTTTTTCCATTTTAGTCAAACTTTTAATCCTTTATTTCCAAAACGGAGTAAATAGTCATGGTACGGATGAATCACCATATTATTCCAGTATCAGAGACGAAGTTTTAATAAAGCTTTGCAACAAAAAAAAAGCAACAAATATTCGCTTGAAACTGTGCGGAGAACTAGAGAGATTTTAGTTTATCGGATGAGGTGCGGTTTGAAAACTTTTTCAGAACATTCTGTGTCATTCCCAATCATATGCTGGGAACGGATAAGTTTTTATTGCCAGACTTCGAACATATTTTCTCTTTAAAGGTTTTGCTTATATGATTTCAAATTCGTCTTTTTAAGAACACTTTTGAACGTCTTTTTTTTTAAATCATACAAGTCAGACCGATGAAAATCATCTAAACAAAATTACAAAAGCTAAAATTCTGATAGTGTTTTCGTAGCCACTGAAAGAGTTCCACTACGTCAACGTCGACGTCTTGATTCAATTAAAACACTCATTTTGAAGATTCAAATAACAAATAGTATATGTATTAATCATCCGGATTATTTCATGTACCATCCACAAATCATAGGTTGATAGGACGGACTGCATGAAAGAAAATATGACTACAAAGGGAGTAAGTGAACTGACGAGTGATAGAAAAGAGTTGAAAAGCATTACCATGGGAGAGCCATGCTTCGGCACGAATGGGCCGGCTCGAACGGAGTGTTACCATGGTCTCACAGAAAACCGGTCTTAAGCAATAATTTCGTTGCCTTTCACTGAGTGAGTGAGGTTCCTGGAGCCCAAATCCAACCTCCATCTGACTCGAGCGGAAGGGACTCCAAGGGCAGCTACGCACTTATGGCTTTTGAGTTGCAGTTGTCCATGGGCGGCGGTAGTTGCTTACCATCAGGTGACCCGTCTGCTCGTTTGCCCTCTTATACCATAAAAAAAGGCAAACTCCTTGTGCCGACCATAAATAGATTTGAGAAAAGGGTAAAATGATGGCCATCATATCATAATTTAGTGTAAAGATTCGAAAAGACGGTTATAATTTCAAAGGCAACCTGAAATATAACATCTCACTAATGGCTTTGAATGCTTCTAAATAATCTGCCTATTACTAGAGTAATACCGTTCTGATTATCATAGAATCCCACAATGATTACGGGACGGACTATGCAGAAACACACATTTACAATTC